CGTTTAGCGATTGAATTTAAGAACTATTTGCATTCATTTTAGAATCTCTATCGACTATTAACCTTAATTACCTACTAAAACATAACTAATCAGCCATATTGTCAGATTCCGTTTTAAATATTCAAATTTTGCACCTCTTTGATAGAGGAACGGTTCCCGATTCCCAAAAGGACACGAAAGACGCGGAAATATCGTCGGACTCGAGCGCGGTGAGGCTGGGTGACAAGACCGAAAAACAATTTTTCTAATAATATTAAAAATATTTTATTAATTAGCAATATTGAAAAATTAAAACTCTAGATAAATTGAACACGCTTCATATTAAGTCTAAACCACCATATAAATTATCTGTTATAAAATGGTCTAAATACGTTTCAAAAATTAATTAACCGTCATTACTAACTCAAATTATGATCTAAATTATATAAACTATTTACGATAACTGCTTCTGCTTTACATATCGGGTCTTAAGAGTACAATGAGTCTTAAAAATACAATAAAGTTCGAATATATCTCCTATAGGATTATCGCGTCTTAACTAAATCGTAAAAAATCTATTATGCAGTAATAATGATATTAACCGGGAACAGATCCGGTTAAAAATTGCCAAACTGTGTTATTTCACAGCAAGATTAAGTCCTGCTGTTTTTTAAAATTAAATAATGCAAAGCTTTGATGTTTACGCTGATTAGGATAGGATTTGATTAGGATAAGAAAAAACCAGAAATTACATTTATTTTTTGTTCAACGTTGATCAGTTTAATGCAATACGGATCTGAAAAACGGATTTCATTGTCTTTCATATACCAATATGGATAAAAGTATTATCTTATTATAGGCGGTATTTAAGTTATTTCCGAAAGAATGCAGACAAAGTGGGAGAAAATGGTGTCGAAGAAAGTAACAATTATTTTAATATCTGTAGCAGCTTTAATACTTTTTGCAACAATCTGTGGCATTTTAGTTGGAGTATTATTAGCGCAGAATTCTAATAGTCAAGGTAAGTGAGTTACCTTAGATTAGCCATTTCAGAAAAATCTAGTGATGCTGTTTTGTTTATAACTGAAATTTATTATACCAAATAGTAGTTTCAACGTTACGTACAAGATGTTCCAACTATAGAGTAAGGTAAGTTTTTGCTTAATATGTAATATTTGTTTGAAAACTCTCACTGTCATATTATAAAGGGGGCATAAAGGACCAGCAAGGAACTTACTGCTGACGAACAAAGCGTGCTGGCCAAGGGAGGAAACTTTGCCATAGTACCGTCCAGGTTGCCAGTAGAGGACATTATATGAAATGTAGAGAGTGGCATACGTTCGCTGCCCATTCGAACCGCAGAACAGATAAGGGCCGAGACTTCGAGAATTTTACAACGCTCAAAGCCTCCGAAGAGCAACCTCACTTTCAGTGAAAGACAAGCCCTGAAAACGCTGAATGAGGATAAGGAGATTCTCGTGTTGCCAGCTGATAAGGGCAATGCAACTGTGGTCATGTCTTTATTGAACTACGAAGACAAAATTAAAGAACTTTTGACCCCGTCAACGTACAAAAAGTTGACACGGGATCCGAGGGCACGGATACTAAGAACAACGAACAAATTAATTAAGGATATGACATCTTCATCCGAGGAGTTGGCAAAACCCAAAAAATCAGAAGCACTCCCATCAAGGCTCTACGGACTACCCAAGATCCATAAACCGGATGTACCACTGAGACCCATTGTGAGCGCCATTGGAAGTCCTACCTACAATATTGCAAAATATCTAGCCAAAC